TATATATTTATCCACCCCTTCCTTTTTATCCTCCCTCTCTCCCACGTGGCTGAGGCGGAGAAGATAAAAAGGAGAAGCGGAGTGTGACTATTATTATTATTTAGTTTTATTTGATTTTAGGCAAAACCCAAAAGATCGTCGACGAATGAGCACGTGCTTCGCATGTCACTTTCGCTGCCGTCACAAAGCTTCGGAACGTTACTTTTTCAACTTTCTTGGACTTACTCGTTTCGTCGTACTACCTTTATTCTCATTGGCGGATTCTCTGGGACCCGCCAAATATGTACGTTCCGGGCCCAGGGAAGGTTTGGAGTGAGAAGCGACCAGCACCCACGCCAGTGCCAGAAGAAGGGAGGAGTCGGCTACGCCTCAGGCGGAGGCGGCGGTCGTCGTCGAGGATGCCGACGTCTAATACGACAAAAAGGAGTGGCCGCATGCGGCCGCAACACGTTTTGCGCACCGCGAACCAAGCAGACATGAATGGACCACATCACATGCGGCTGCACAGCGATGGCTGCTTTGCCTCTCGTCATTGCTGTGCCCGGGAATTAATCTGCGATCGACTCGTCATCGGATCCCCATCTCAAAGCAAATGGAGCCAGCTGAATCCCCCAGATTCGTACCTAACCCGACCCCGAGGAGAAGAAGAGCAAAAGAATCGAGCGAGCGAGCCAAAAGAAAAAAAGAAACCATCGATCGATCCCGGTCCAATGTTGTGGTGCAAGCAATCACATCTTTCGAGGCTGGCGATGGGCCCACCACCGAGCCATCTTGCGACGTCACACTCGGTGTTGTGGTCCTGCGTAGACTTTTTCTTTTCGTGTGTGTGTGCATTCAATGAATTCTGCTGTAGTTTTCTTTCCTTTTGCAATTGGAGTTGGACAGGGCGATCCGATGTCTCCGGCACTTTCCAGAAACTTAACGCAGCAGCGTCTGGGACGGACGGTGGTTATATCAAGGGGGGAAGCATCCCACGTCAGCGGGCGGGCGGCTGTGGCAATTATCCATCCATTCACGCTTTAATATTCGTACTTGCTGATTTATCTGCGACGATTGTGCGGTCAAAGAAGACCTGCGATGCCGCCAGTCTCCCACTTGCTTGGCTGGCGGCCGCTGTAAATTACTAAATTAGCTCAGGCGAGCGGGAATTACCAAGCTAACGTACATGATTAGAATTACCGAAAGGAGTTGATGGAATAAATAGTTGGAAGGGCAAGACTCGATCGAGGAGGAAAGGAAGAGATGAAATCGGAGTGTAATATTGGTGCCGAAGCAAGCCCGAATGTGAAACCGATGAACCAACCACGCCCTTTCCTTTGCGTCCCCACCTCTCTGTGTCGCTCTCTGGTTCTCGCAGCGTCACTTCGCCTAGTTTCTTCTACGCCTTCACGCCCTCTTCCACGCCTGCTCCGTCGCTTCCGGTGCCAGCTGCGGCAACAGTAACCGACGGTCTCAGGATCGCTGGGGGAGGGGGTGACCGGAACCCAGGGTTTCCGGTTCATGCGCAGGAGTCGGTGCCCGGTGTTCGATCAGAGGAAAAGGATGAACTTGTGGGCCGACGACAACGCCTCCATGATGGAGGCCTTCATGGCCTCCGTCGACCTCCCGGGCTTTTCCTGGGCGGCTGTTCCTCCTACACCCACCCCGCCTTGTGCAGCAGCCTCCTCCTCCTTGGATCACCCGGCCGCTGCGGCGACTCCTGCTCCCGCGTACTTCAGCCAGGAGACGCTCCAGCAGCGGCTGCAGGCGCTGATCGAGGGGGCGCGGGAGAGCTGGACGTACGGCATCTTTTGGCAGTCGTCGGTGGACGCCGCAACCGGGGCGTCGTTCCTGGGATGGGGCGACGGTTACTACAAGGGCTACGAGGAGGACAAGCGGAAGCAGAGGGTCGCCGGCGCTGCCTCTGCTGCCGAACAGGAGCATCGGAAGTGCGTGCTTCGGGAGCTCCACTCGCTAATCTCCGGAGGCGGTTCATCGGCGCCGGACGAGGCCGTCGACGAGGAGGTTACCGACACCGAGTGGTTCTTCCTCGTCTCCATGACCCAATCCTTCGTCAACGGGGGAGGACTCCCGGGCCAGGCCTTCTACACCGGAGCCCCCGCTTGGGTTACCGGCGCCGACCGACTCGCCGCTGCGCCATGCGACCGGGCGCGCCAGGCTCAACTGTTTGGCCTCCAGACCATGGTATGCGTCCCCGTCGGCTCCGGCGTCCTCGAGCTCGGATCTACCGACGTGGTCTTCCACAGCCCCGAGATCATGGGCAAGATCCGCGTCCTCTTCAACTTTAGCTCTCCGGACGCTCCCTCCGTCGCTTCCTGGCTCACACCGCAATCTGCGGCGCCCACTCCCGCCACCGACCAGGGCGAGACGGATCCGTCCATGCTCTGGCTCACGGATCCGTCGGCGGTCGACATCAAGGATTCTGTTTCACCCGTCTCCGCCACCGCCGACCTCTCCGTCACAAAACCCCCGATCCAATTGGAGAACAACCCTAGTTCCAGCATCCTCACCGAAAGCCCTAGCTCTTCGATGCAGTTCCAAAGAACTCACAACCAGCCGCAGCAACAGCTGCATCAGAGCAGCGCCAGTGATCCGCATACCCATCTTTTCGTCTCCAAAAAGTTCAATCTCTCTGAATTCGCCTCCAACGGCTCTGTTGTTCCCCGATCGGCTAAGCCGGAGCCGAGCGATATCCTAGATTTCGCCGGTAGCAATAGGAATCCCACTCCGGCCCCTGTCACCGGCAGCCTCTTCTCCCACCACCAAACCATCACCGCCGCGGCAGACGACAAGAGGAACAAGAGATCCACGGGGGCAACATCCAGGGTGAGCAACAGCGATGAGGGGATGATCTCCTTCTCGTCGGCTTCCGCACGACCCCCTTCTGACGTTCTGTTTAAGTCTTCCGGCGGCGGCGGAATCCTCGATGGCCCCGATTCGGATCAGTCGGACCTCGAGGCCTCGGCGCGGGAGGTGGAGAGCATCCGGCCGGTGGAGCCAGAGAAGCGACCGAAGAAGCGCGGCCGGAAGCCTGCCAATGGCCGGGAGGAGCCTCTGAACCATGTGGAAGCAGAGCGGCAACGCCGCGAGAAGCTCAACCAGAGGTTCTACGCCCTCCGCGCGGTGGTGCCCAACGTGTCCAAGATGGACAAGGCCTCCCTCCTTGGGGACGCGGTCTCGTACATCAACGAACTGCGGTCCAAGCTCGAGACGTTGGAAATCGACAAGGAGGAGTTACGAGCACAGGTGGAAGCCCTGGAGAAGGAGCGTGAATCCAACCCGACCCGGCCGGTCCAGCCGCCGCCGGACCATGATCTTAGGATGATGAACGGCAGCGGCGGCGACCGGTGTCACGGGGTGGAGTTGGAAGTGAAGATACTCGGGTCGGAGGCCATGATCCGATTACAGTGCCTAAAAAGAAATCACCCGGCCGCGAAGCTGATGGCTGCGATACGAGACCTCGATCTTGACGTGCATTACGCGAGCGTGTCGGTGGTGGAGGACCTCATGATACAGCAGGCGACGGTGAAGATGTCGCCGAGTCGGACGTACACCCCGGAGCAGCTCCGTGCTGCTCTCTACTCTAAATTGGCTGCCGAGGCACCAATTAGCAGGTAGCCTATGTTTGTCTTGGCCTTTAATGGCGGCGGGAGGAGTTCTTTAGATTATGTTGGATTCTGTAAGATCTTTGTTCGCGTGGACTATGAGATGCAGCCATAGTATGTTGTGCTTCAGTGGTTTAGTATGTACATATGCATTGCATTTCTAGTGCAATGAATGTTGCTTTTCATCAGATAAGAGATGCTTTTGGTAGCTGAAGCTTCTTCTATATCGCTGCACAATGCTCTGTCGCTTTGTTTGGCTAAGGCAGGTCTTGATTTCTGTGATGTTTCCCAGAGCAGCAAATGATCAATACATCATAAACAGTCTGCTTTTTTCTCTAGGGGGATTTCCATCAAAAAAATTCCTCTTTTCTATTAAAAAAATATATTTTGAGCTTTTTTTTTTTTAAAGGTTTTTATTTTTCCTCATACGCAGCCTCTTCTATTTTGTAATTTTGTAAATGTCCGTCACCTTTTATCACGTCGATCATCGGGCCCTCCTTATACATTACGATTGTCAATCTCTTTTGCATGTCCTATCATATCATGCTATTTTCACACAAACCTACCCATTGTCATCAACCCTACTCTTATCTTTGATGGATCTCGTCTCTACCGTCACCTTGAAGACCAAGAAGGTTCATCCTGCCTCGCTCTTCATCGACCTTAATGAGACCCTTCCGTCACCCTACAACACCCCTCCTGTTGACCCCTCATCCCATGACTTCTCACTCAATCCTCGTGCTCTCACTTGCTACTTCCATGATTCCCTCACCCCCGCCCTTGGACCTACTATCGACTTCCCTAGTAAGGCTAGTGTTGGGCAATTGCTCCTCCCCTACGATGTTCTTAGTCGAGCACGTTGAAGTCGATGATGATGGAGACCAAGAAGAAGAAGAAGTTCATTGTCATCCCTCTCATACAGTTCTTAATCGACAACGAGGAGACGATCACGTGGAGGTAACCGGGCGAAAGTGGCCAGGCAAAAACAACGTATGATAGGCGGCAAAAGGAGGATTATAGAAAATATGAGCATCATATAAGAAAAATAAAAATAACAGAACTTCTGTAAAAATAAAAAGGATGGATTTTTAAAAGGAAATTGCCCTTTTATCTCGACCTATTTCCATCGTCAATGCGGTAGCCATCGATACATCTATTTGGTAACAGCGACCTCATTAGAATGCCATGTCAACAACCATAAACCACAGATCAACTACTGTGCGACGTTGAAATATAATATGGTGAAGTCACTTTCTATGGCTTTGGTCAAGCAAATGTTTGGCAAGACGAAAGAGGCAACCTTTTAAAGGTTGCAAATGATTAAACCCCAAAAGAGTGAAACTTGGTAAACATGTAGAATGTTGTTGTCAAGTCTAATGTGCTTTGGACTAATTCTCATCATTCTTATATGACATATGTAAGGATATTTACATGTTAGTCGAGGAGGTCAATACCTTACATTGGACTCATACAGACAAAAGAGCTCATAAGCTTGTCCTACTGAGGGGAGTCATATTTTCTTGGTAGCTCATGAAGTCTCCGATTAACAAATTTTTTCTTCGGTATTAATGTATGACCCATGGGATCTTCGACTAAGTTTAATTTAGGAAATGCAATGAAATAGGTAAATATTATGCTGCATAAAGATTTCACAACAGTTTCTACTTTTCTTTTTTCTTTTTTTTGTTTAAACCTCACAAGAAAAAAGCTTTTTTTTTATTCTTATTGGTGTTTACTCTTATCGATCAATGAAATACTTATGGTTTGATATATAATGATGTTTTTAAAAATAAATATTGGAAAAATATTTTTGAAGCAAAAACAAATTTTCTTGGGTGAAGCTTTTTGCATCGAAATATAACAAATGGAAACATTTTAAAGTCATCTAATCCGATGAAGTATATATTAGAGTGGGTAAATACTTTTGTATTTCTCTATGTCGTTTAAGAAGTTCTTGCTTTCCTTGTGCTATAATTGTTTAAAAGATAGGGAATTCAAGAATAAGTAAATAAATAAATAAATATTGATTTTAAAAGGTAAATTAAAAAAATTAGTTTTGAGTAATTCTCATGCTATTGGTTCCAAAAATTTATACAGTGTCTCTTCTTTCATAAAAAGATGAATTTGCTCGTGCCTCCATCGCACCCATCATCGCCTCCACTCTTACGCTTGGCTACATTCATGCATGGGCCTCCACACCATCTACTCGCCATCCTTGTCCCTCCTAACTATGTTTGCCTCTACCTCCACCCCACACCCCATTGGTCACAAACTTTGCCCCCCTCTCCTCTCCGATGGCATGCCCCCAACATGATGACATCATTAGGAAAGAGGGCATTAGGACTTTCTTTCTCGATCGTCACGTCTTTAATGATCGAAGAGAGCAAAGAAGAATTATTGAAAGCCATCAACAATAGAGTGAGAAACGTAGGGGATATAATGCGAAGCAAGGGGAGGTACAAAGTAACACAAGCTAGGTGGAGGCCTTCCGATCGATGGGGGTTGTGGTGGGTGGCAAGGGGGGAGGAGGCACCGACGATGCCAAAGGCGAAGGCAATGATTGATAAGGCAAAATCATTTTTTAGGAATAAAGATGCATTTTACGAGAATTTCTTAAAACTTTTTTTTTATAAATTTATACTTTTTTAAAAAATAAAATTTTAATTATTTGATAAGGAGCCAATATAAGAAGAATAACATTAGTATTCTAAAGTTTTTTCTTTAGTAAATTTAAAAGAGCAAAAAATATTTATGCATTATGCGAAAAGCTGTTAAAAAAAACATTAATCTACATATGTTATGTTGATTTGAGATCTTACAAAATATCATTAAGTCGGTACAATATCAAGAATACACAGGTATGAACTTGGACATGCCATTTGGGAGCAGTACGTACGTACGTACGCACGTACGGTGTGTAAATACGCAATCCCAATGAACCAATCAAAATATGACTGGCCCTTATTCCTCTTTCTCTAATTGTAATCGTTTATGGAATTATAATATATTAGAGGCATAATTAAATCAGGCCACCACCGTCTCCCCTTCTCTCGGCTCTCTCTCTCTCTCTCTCTCTCTCTCCCTCTCTCCAATTTGGGGGAACGCACATCGAACGCAACCCTTCCTCCCCTCGACGCCGATGGCTTCCGATGGCTTCGCCGACAAGAACGCCGTCTTCAGAAAGCTCAAATCCAAGTCCGACAACAAGGTAACCCGCTACGGATTCTTCCCTGGCCCTTTCTTTTGGCCCGTTCTTGGCTTGCATTGACTTCTTTGCGTTCGTCGACTGGGTCGCTGGGATCTCCGGATAAGCCTCCAGATCTGATCACCTCTGACCCGTGGATCTCTTCTCCGTGGCAGATGTGCTTCGAGTGCAACGCCAGGAACCCGACATGGGCGTCGGTGACGTACGGGATCTTTCTCTGTCTCGATTGTTCCGCCGTTCACCGAAGTCTGGGCGTGCATATCAGCTTCGTGAGGTATCCAGTCATTGCGTTTCGCTTAACTGAGGAAACAGCTCAATTTTTCTTCCTAGGTTATAAATCCGGGATCATGTATTGATATCTGAATCCATGAAGATAGCCCACTTCGATTTTTTCGTATTTCTTTTGATGAAAAAATTGTTTTTCATATTCGTCAGTGGCAGAAGTTGTCAGATTACCTGCATGCTGTCCATGCAATGGATCTAATGAATGATTGAGATATGGTTATATGAATTTATTTAAAGAGGCGACTTCACATTGAAATATTTCGTTGAACGAGTTAGGTTCATTTCTTGATATTGACGATGGAAGTTCATTTGTTTATTTGGATCTATTACCAGAACTAAGGATGTGTAGTTTTTGGTTACTATCAAGTTATTATATTTAAAGACTTGTTTATGCACTTCAACCAGTAGCTTCACTGATAAAATTTGATGTGGGGACAACTATGTCTGATCAATTATATTAGTTCTTTTGGGTTGAAAGGTTGGTTGAGGATACTAATTGATTGACAATACATCTCTTCTAAAGTAAAAGGGATACTGGGATATCAAATGAAAGATCCCATAAATGAATCTTCTTGTAAAAAATATTGGTCCCTTGACTTATAATTTATGTGGAATATAGATTCTTAAATTTGGCAAAGTTGATCTGAGATGAGCTTTAAGTGTGGCTCTCAAAAATTCAGGCATGGCTACCTTGATCTACAGAATTGAAAGGAACCAGCATTTCTCTCGTTAACAGGTTGGTAAGGCTTAATGAAATATTAAGTTAGCATTATCCAAATAATAACCGGCTGGCCGTTGTGGTAGTAGATCGTATCATTGGGATTTTTATCTTTTGGAAGTTTCAAATATAATCCTTCACTTCTTGCTTTACTAACGTGAAGTCTGCATCCTAATTATTTTGTTCTTTTTTTGTTGTTTCTACTTTTGCAATATGCAGTTTGAAGGATCGAATGACATGAAAATCTTACTGTAAACTATGAGGATCAAACATTGTACTTGTTTTTGGTGTTCTATTTTCTGCCTGAATATGTTTTCTGACATGTAATAATATTGCTCGTATATTATTCTTTGTAGACACAGCATGCTGTAACAACTTTTGACAGTTTTATTTAGATCCTTCTTGAAGTGATTTCATGAGATGTACTGTTTGGAATTTCATTTGATGGTGTCTAGGTCTACAAATTTAGACTCTTGGACTCCTGAGCAGCTCAAGATGATGGTTTTTGGAGGCAACAACCGTGCACAAGTTTTTTTTAAACAGCATGGATGGACGGATGGTGGCAAGATCGAAGCTAAATATACATCTAGAGCAGCAGAATTGTATAGGCAGTTACTAACTAAAGAGGTTGCTAAGAGTGCTGCAGAAGATTCTGGACCTTCATCACCTGTTGCAGCAACTCAGTCCACGCATGCAGTAAATGGACTTCCTGAACTTAAGCTTGCAGATACTTCCAAAGATAATCCAAATAAGACGAATGAGTCTGAAATTACTCGGTCACCTAAAGCTCCAGTCCGTTCTGCAGTTATAAGTTCTGTTAAGAAACCCATTGGTGCGAAGAAATCTGGAAGCAAGACTGGGGGGCTTGGCGTCCGTAAGCTCACGACAAAGGTAAATTGTTTGTGCCACATTATAACAAGTCAATAACCCTTATGAAGCTTCCTTCCTGCTATCTTTTGTTGGGTTTATTTGTCTTTTTTGCTTATATTCAACTGCTTCATAAGTTTTTCAAATCTTTTCTTGAGCCTGTCATCTTTAAAGTTTTGTGGATTTTCAGAAGCTTCTTTGCTAGATATATGAATCATATGAGTTCTTGAATACAAATTGTTGGGCCGAATGTACTGTCCTGACTGTAATAGTCAATTTGATTGCAGCCAAATGAAAGCCTGTATGAGCAGAAGCCTGAAGAACCAGCACCTGTTGCAGTGTCAGCTAAGTCTAACACAACAAATGGTCAGTTGCTTTCCACTCGATTTGAATATGTGGATGTGGAGAACACACCTTCCACCAAGAGCAGCTCTGATGGCCCACAAGTGATCAGTCACGTTGCACCACCAAAATCTTCAAGCTTTTTTGCGGACTTCGGAATGGATGGTGGATTTGAGAAAAAGTCAAACTCCATTTCATCAAATGTACGAGTGACATTGTTTTAGTACCTTCTTTTCTGTCAACTTGGCCGAATAACATCCTTTTTTCTTTGTCTGGGAAGAAGCTCTGATATTTTAGAAAACATAACTATTTGTCAGATATATTCATATATAGGCATTAGTTATATATTGTCCTTGATTAGATTTATAAAATTCTGGATATTAATGCCATTGAGGGATATTACTATTCTAATCTAAAAGTGGATGAAGAAAGAAAGCTTCTTTTGAATCGGCTCTTTTTGGGGGCATATGATATAAGGAGTCCAAAAAAGAGAGATATATTTGGAAGTCACTTAATCTAGAGCGACAGAAAACATCATCAGTCCAATTCTCGAATGCAAAATGAACTGAGGGTATATTTGTACTTATTTTATAGTGATATGATTTTTTTTTTTTCATGATGACCAGATCCAAGAAAGTAATGAAGCAAGACAGAAATTCTCAAATGCAAAATCCATATCATCAGCTCAATTCTTTGGTGATCAGAACAAAGCTAGTGATGCTCAAATATCCCTAGAGAAATTCACGGTATGTGCTCATGCCTTTATCACAAAAGTTTGTTATATCAAATGTTTGTAAGCCATATTAGCTAGATTCTAAAAGTGATTATAAAAATGTGACTGCATGAATGTTCAGTAGTTCTATGTAGTTGGTTTATATCTGCAAACAACCAATGCCTTTCGGGCTCTAAGGTGAGGAGATGAACTCCAACTTTATGTATCTTAGATGGTTATATGGACTTAGGGAACGTGGTAATTAGTTGCTCATAATTTTTGGTGTCTTGTTCTCTGTCATGATTATCATTGAAACTTATATTGTCATGATTTATCATTGAAACTTATATAGCTTAGATGGTTATATGGACTTGGGGAACACGGTAATTAGTTGCTCATAATTTTTGGTGTCTTGTTCTGTGTCATGATGATCATTGAAACTTATATTGTCATGATTTATCATTGAAACTTATGTAGCTTAGATGGCTATATGGACATGGGAAACACAGTATTTAGTTCCTCATAATTTTTGGTGTCTTATTCTTTGTCATGATTATCCTTGAAACTTTTATTGTCATTGGAGCTTCAGCGATGTAGTGCCTTTTTTGCATCCAAATGTTGATAGTATCATGTATGATTTAGATATCCATAATTCTGTTATTTGGATTTCTTGAACCTAATTGGTGACTTGATGAACTTTGACAACATTATGATTTATGAGCACTCTGATTGACTTAGACTACCTTTTCATGTAGGGGTCAACATCCATCTCGAGCGCTGATCTCTTTGGTCATGAAACTGATTCTGGAGTAGAGTTGACTGCTGCAGACCTCATCAACAAAATCTCATTCCAGGTATGTTTTTTTAGGGTGATTTGTAATATAAATGGCTGATCTAGTAGCATCCAACTTGTAAATATTAATACAAGGGGATTCTTGTATAGAGGCCTTTCCACGAGCAACAAAATTGGTTTAATGGGAACTCTTTTAGGCTGATTTATTTGAGCTGTATTTTCTGGGCTTGATATCTTCTGCTAAAATATTAAGAAATTTTTTTTTTTAATGCATAACTTTTTCTACAATCGAGTAATTTGGAGTGTCCTCTTACATTCATCTGACAGATTTTTATGAGGCTGTCTTCTGACCAAATAAAATACTTGGTTTTTTTTCAGGCATCACAAGATATATCGTCACTCAAGAACATAGCTGGGGAGACTGGGAAGAAGCTGTCATCGTTAGCTTCTGGTTTCATTAATGACTTCCAGAATAGAATGCTTTAAGTGGACTGCATGGGTTTGCATTCATATACATGCTCAACAGCCAGCTGATCATTAGACAGATGGAAGTTGCTTGTTAGTTGTCAAAAGCTCAAAATTACCCCCCCTCAATTTTTTTGTCTTCCGAGCTGTAGCAATAAACCTCAGTAGTTACTGTGCACCGGATGCATGTAAAACTGTAAAACACATACCAGACTTCGTTCATTAAAACTATATATATACGTAGAATTCTCTCTGAACACTTGTTGGTCTGTATTTCTGAAATTGAAAGAAAAAAAAAAAGGGATCCATGAAGAGCTATGCATCTATGTCAATTCATCATTTCAATGTTTGTGCTGCTCTGCTTGGTTAGGGTTGGGTCACATTTTTTAGCGACTGTAAAATGATGTTCTTTGTGCATTTCCGGCTATATTAGTGTTGGTTAATGTGACTCAGGTGCTGTGTGCTTCCTCCAATTACTAACCATCTTTTCTGGATCTAAATTGCCTAGTGCTGATCGTGTCAGTATTGTTTCGTCATTTGAGCTAGATAAAGGAAACAGGAACTTTGTCGAAAAGGTACACTTCTTTCCTTCATTTCCATCATTCGAGATAGATAAACTTACATCAAGTTTAGCCAGCTCCTTTCCTCTCCTCTCCTTTGGGTTGGGTGTTCTCCGCAAGCGGTGAGAGGGAGAGGCTGCGGAGGGACAGGGGAACGCGGCGGGCTTGACATCTGCTTCCGACTTCCTGAAAGAAAACTCTGGCCGCTAGAAGACGTGAGCAGTGGGTCCCACTCTTTGTTGGAAAGACAATATATATTCGAGCTTTTGGTGCCACAAAGGTGCTGTTCGTGCACCTTCTTGACTGTGATGGAGAGCTCGTTTCGCTGATCTATGCTCCGAAACTGCAAAGAGAAAAGTGGAGACGCCAAAGTAAGCGCTATCGCTCCAATACCGCTGAATCTGCTATTCCGGTCGTCGACAACACAATCTTTGGTTCACGGCTTTCCACGGGAAAGCCTGTTATACATGCCCAAGATTGAAAAAGAACAAAATAAATCAGGTGAATTCTCAAACAAAAAAAATATATATATATTTTTTTAAAAATTATAGAGTATTTTTATTTCAAAAAATTCTCATAAAGCATCCCTCTCGTGCAAAGATCATTTTATCTTTATCTTCGCCAAACCTATGGTTAGGTTCACCTTGTATCATTATCTTCTCATCTTGGATTTATCACTCGTATCCCTTTATGTATCATAGCCCTTGCAAGAGGGAGGAGGAGGCACAGAGGTAATGATGGGTTTAACAAGGGCCAACAATGGTCCTTGTGCCACCTCCTTCCTTGTGTGAGGGTTATAGGTGAGACGTATGAGGGTGAGGGTGACGGGATCCGTGGAGGCAATGAAAGCCCTCGTGCCCCCTTCTTCCTTGCATGAGAGCTGCAGATGAGATGCACATGGGTGTGCCTAAGGGGGTCCATGGATGCAATGACTCTTATGCCCCCTTATTTCTCGCACGAGGGTTACAAACGAGACATGCAGGAGTAGGGTTGATAGGGTCCTATGAGGTAGCGGTAGCCCTTATGCTCTATCCTTCCTTGCATGAGGGCTATAAGCAGTGGGTTCAGTGAGGCAGAGGGGAGGTAATGCAAGGAGGTGATGGTGTAAGTCTGTAAAGGTGGCGACGGTCCTCGCTCCCCCTCCTTCCTTACATAAGAGTCTCGAGCGAGGATGGTAAGGGTGGTACGGGACGATGTAAGGTGGATGTGATGATAGATCCGACGAGATCAAAGGTAAAATGATCATTTATATAAAAAAAATACTTCGTGAAAAATATTAAAAAGTAGAGGTTTTTTATAAGGAAATCGCTCAAAAATTTTAGACTTTATTTGATAGTTTTTGGCGATGACGAGAAAAGAGGGATCTCACGCTTTAAGACATCCTCTCTGTACATTTTTTTAAGTGCTTTTTGTCTTTTAATACCGGGTAAATTTTATTAAAAAAATCACGTTTTCTCTTTTTTGTTTTTTTCAACGGAAGATTTCCTTTTCGATTTATTTTCATATGAAATTGCCTTTACCTCCCTATCGATTCTCATCTCTATCCTACATGACCACATTTGCCACCTCTAGCCCATCATAAAGTCTTATTACCCTCCCTTGCATGCGGATCAGACTAAAAAAGCATGCCCCAACCCATTTTTACTCATTTCTTGTATCTTAGTATCGTTTAATTAAGAGAGTAGACATGCTTCTTGAACGTGGGAGCCAAGTAGCGGAGGAAGGGGAAGCCCCACCATGGTCGATTTTTTTTCCCTTGATCTTTTTTTCTAGTTTATCGAGGTCAATTATAAGATGAAGATAGGGCCTTAGTGGTGTCTCAACGGTAGGAAACGACGATGAGAGCAATGAGATGGAAGCGATGATCGATAGGACGAGATTAAAAGATAATATAATCTTTTAAAAAATAAAAATTATCATGTGAAAAAAGTAAAAAAGAAAAATTGTAAGACTTTTGTTTAGAGAAATTGCCCTATCCAATAACTCATCGGCCCAAGATTTCTCGCCCCCCTCGTTCTCTCTCTAAGAGGATACAAATTTCACGTTTCATCGGAATCCCCACACGTGCAAAGTTCCAAACATCTTAGCTTTCGTACTAACCGCTGTTGTTGTACTCCTCGCGCCGAAAATTATTTCCTGGGGTCGGGAGCCGCCACCCTACCTAGGGCGGTAGGCCCGCGCCGCAGGAGCGGTCGCCCCCATCCCAACGACGATGACTGGCGTGAGCTTCTCACGAGAACCCGGCGCTGCTGCCTCGGTCATGCGTCGCCGGCGGCACGGAGCACGTAGGAGTAGCGTTGTGTTTGGGACATCTGTTTCTTCTGCATTTGTTTGTTTGACCTCTGCAGCCTCGTCGTCTCGGTCAGCGACGCCCCTTCCGGGGTTGAAATGGCCTCTTCGTCATGTCCATCGATCCTAATGAGGCGGGCGCCGATGTCAGTTGTTTCCTTTGGTTCGCCCGGCGATTTAGTCCCACGCTATTTCTTGCTTGGGACGCAAGTTTCGTTGACCACTGACCGTTGACCCAGCCGTTTGTACGTCATCGTCGCGATCATCGTCATCGTTGTTGCCAAAGAAATTGCTCCATATAGGAGACTTAGCGGCGAAGAAAGAGCGAGCGTCGTGTATGACATGGAAACATTCATAGTCTCACGGCTATATCTATGCGAAAAATTAGAAGAAAGGCTTATCGATCTGAAAGAAAAGAATTGTTTGAAGTAATCCCCAGCATCAGCATGTTTGATCATCTCCAGCTTCAGCCTTGTCTCTTGTGCATGCGTGCTTGCAAAGCTTCCTTATTCTATAGAAGATGTCAGATGGTCCTTCTTATGGCATTGATACCAACCCAACCAGTCACAGTACCCCCCAACAAAGAAAAGACAAAGATCCTCAGCATAAAATTGTGGACGTTTTATCTTAAAAAAATCTTTATTATTAGATTTTATCCAAATGGTGTCTCCAAATTGATTTTAGATATTTCTTTTTCATCATTTTGATAAAAATAATTTCTTCTTCGTCCTCTTCAGTCGTCCTCGATCATCGGAGGCGACGGACGACGTTGCTCGAGGGTAGAGGGTCATATTTTTATCGAATTGATAATAAAATAATATTTTTTATAAAAACTAATTAAGAGAACATTATTAGTAAATTCTTTTTAGATGAAATATCTTAGAACATTCATAAGCATTTATTCTTCCGTATATTAAGCATGAAGGTCCAGAATTCTTCATGCTCACAGAACATGCATCAGGACGAAGCAAAGAGCTACCACATCTCACCGAAAAGAACGGCTCTCCAACCCCTACGGCCATCGGGACTTCCCCAACCCACTTTGGCCACACCATTTCCATCACCTTCCTCGAGAAGAAGTCACGAGATAATGCCAAAAGAAGACGCAGATCTTTCTACCTGTCCAACAACCCAACTGGCAAACCTGCCGCTGCAGCTCTCCGTTCTCGTGCGCCATGACATCATTTTCCCATTGGGGTGTGTGTTTGCAGTCAATCTTGTCACCTAAACCACAGTCTGTTCCTTAACCTTGGGATGAGGTTACCCGATGAAGTGGACAGGAACCCACACTCACGCTAGAAAATTCTTGGATGCTGCCATCTACCACAGGAGAATGAGATTCTCCAGAAACAGTCATGGAAAATTCTACCAACTGGATTATCATCGTTAATATGGATCATTCGCAGGTACATCATGCGTTCGTCGAACTAATACACCAATTTATGTTCTATCTCGAGCTTATCTTCTCGTTCTGATAGGATCACGTCTGGAAGTGGCAGTCAGTGGATGATGGAATGATGACATAGCCGCATTGTCCTTTTGTGAGTGGAGATTAAGTTGGGCTTAGATACTCCCGCAACACAACTCGGATATCCACAGATATATTGTTAATGTCCGCATCGGCTTCGTTTTCATTACATATTCTATTGCGCAAACCGAAGAGGAATTGGCCGGAAGCGACCAATCGATCTCTACAGATGAGGCTCGGTTCATAGTATCCATGGGGTGAGGTGGCTAGCAAACAGAGCAAGCAAAACATTGGGCAGCGTTACAGGGGCGGTGCTCGATGATTACTGTAATCCTGTGGTGGTGCGGTAAGTATCCGCCACCTACTTAGTTATATCAAAATAATTTGGGTCTAAAGCGAGGAAAGATGATTAAAGAGAGATGCATTAGCACTAAACAAATGCCATGTGATGTAATGGGTGCGTGAGAGAAGAAAACAGTGTCGCATGTGATTAAGACGCAATCGAGGGTGCGGATAAGCACGCCCAAACTCTCTCTCTCTCTCTCTCTCAAAGTCTACATAGATCGTCTCGCCCTCTCTCCTCTTGTTTCCTGCTCCCGTGCAAACCTCTTTAGAGCCGGACTGCCTGAAGAAACAGTTGGTGATCGAGCAGGAATCCTACCTCAGAGAGGAGTCATGGTGAACTAAAGATCCGTCCTTTCTTCTAAATTGAGCTTCTTTCTGATACTACTAATGCTGGTTGGATTGGATGAAGTATGAGATTCATTTTTATCTGATTTCCTGATGTGGTGATTGCTGGTGGTGTGGATTACGGACTGGTATTGGAACAGGGCGGTGGAGTGCCGGAGGAGAACTGTCGCTGGCCGCCGTGGCTGCGGCCGCTTTTGTCGACGAGGTTCTTCGTTCAATGCGCGGTCCACGCCGACTCGCACAAGAGCGAGTGCAACATGTACTGCCTCGACTGCACCAACGGCGCCCTCTGCTCCCTCTGCCTCGCCCACCATCACCGCGACCATCGCACCATCCAGGTCCGTCTCTTCTCTATGCTCTGCTGCTTGGGATCGTCCTGTCGCAATCCCCTGCGGTGTTCCTTCTCCCGCCATCAGAATGGCGGCTAATTGAAGGATTGGATTCTGGATGGGGGTTACTCTGTTCCTTCATGCCAATAGATATGGCACCTGTTCGAAGTGGTTCCCTGCTTCTTCCGTCCAAAATGCTATCTTTTCTCAATCAATCGCTGCTGCTGATGGTGGTTTGGTGGTGCAGATACGGCGGTCGTCCTACCACGACGTGATCCGAGTGTCGGAGGTCCAGAAGATGCTGGACATAACCGGCGTGCAGACGTACATCATCAACAGCGCTCGCGTGGTGTTCCTGAACGAGCGCCCTCAGCCGCGGCCCGGCAAGGGAGTCACAAACAACTGCGAGGTCTGCGAGCGTAGCCTTCTCGACTCCTTTCGCTTCTGCTCCCTCGGCTGCAAGGTCTCCTCCTCAAGCACACCCCATCTATTCATCCGACTCGATCATGGACTGTTGTAAACAATTGTTTGTCGGAATGCTTCCTTCAGATAGCCGGCACCGCCAACGATGGCAGCAACAAGAAATCGGGCGAGAAGAAAACAATGGCCACAGCGGCATCATCGGATTCGGACGAGTCGTGCACTAGCCGCGGGAGCGAGAATAGCAACATGACCAACAGTTTCGCCCCCTCCACTCCGCAGTATCACCGGAGCGCCAAGAGGAGGAAGGGCATTCCCCACAGGGCCCCCTTTGGTAGCCTCATCTTGGAGCTTTAGGCCAGGCATCTCTTCTATTACTACCCCAGTCATTACTAATCTATTCTCCTTATATCTTGGAATCACCTCAGTCATCATGCATGATACGTACGCTTCTATACAAATACATCCATACATATAAAGACCAGCATATGGAGAATGCAGGTTAAACTAGATATGCATCTACAGGTACAGTGGTGAAGTTATTGTAGGTTGTGATGGTTAGAGAAAGAGAGAGAGAGAGAGAGAGAGAGAGAGTGTGTGTGTGTGTGTGTGAGAGAGAGAGAGAGAGAGAGAGAGAGAGAGAG